AACGCAGATTTGATATTTTTATCTTCCATCGACCTTAGATAATGGTGTCCAACAACTGATGTTATTAATTTATTAATTATTACACCAAGGACCAAAAAACTTGGTTTCCTCCGTTAGGGGGAATGGGATCGGGGGGGGGGGGGGGAAAGGGAAATTCTAAAAATCGCGTATCGACAGGTTATTGTGCGGTCGACAATCCGTATCGGCGCACAGTTTCTGGAAAGTCGAAATACACGCGTAAATAACATCTTAAAGTTATATACTTGTTATTGCGAATAGTATTATCACAGACCCGGTGGTCGAGCTGGCTAAGACGCCCGTCACGGATTGTAGGGAGGTCCCAGGTTCGAATCCTGGCTGGGGTAATATTTTTCGCAATAAGAATTTTAATAGCCTGATACTGTCAACAGAAATCACTATAGCCAGTGTAGGTCGTTAAAACTTAAGAAAATTTGGTTTCGAGTTTCTGGCGATATATAATTACCACTCTTGACTTTTATCTTCATCGCAAGAAAGTAACTGCAAAGTAACGACTCGTTACTTTTTTAGTAACTGTAACGCGTTACTTCTCAAACTTGCTAACTGTAACTAGTTACATATAACTAGTTTTAGCGAAAAAACTGTAACTGTAACTAGATACTTTTATAAAGTGACTTTCCCAACCCTGATGATTTCGCAACGAAATCGAGGACGAAGCTCCGTGTACAATTTGATAGGCGCGACTGTCCTAAATGTATTAAATAACGGCGGTGAAGCTGCAAGGTTGAGACGAAGTCGGAAAAATCGAACTCTGGCTGCACATACTTGTCCGTTGCGATTACGCAAGGCGCGGAGATTTTCGAGAAGATTGGGGGTCCGTCCGTGTAATCGCCGCGCGGAATGCGGTTCCTTGAAAGGAAAAGACTTTTGCGTCTCTTTCCAAGATCGTATCTCCGGCGCCTAACCATCGTTACTTACTCATCGTCGCGTCATCGTCTCTCGAGTGCGTTTTTCTGTGCGAACGTTACCGCGAGAGACGCGACTCCGTGTGCTACTGAAACACTGAATAAGACAATCGCGACTACTTGAGAATATGGCGCGACGTACCTCCAATCGTGCGGATGCTAATTAATTGCCTAGAATAACATAAAACTGATAATTAAGTCCACTATCGGAAAACTGTTACGCCGTCCCGTTTGCTCAACGAATTCAGCCACTTTGCCCGATCTTTTCGTAAATTGCCTCGATAGCTACTGAACAGCGCAATAGCGCGCGGTTACGAATTGTATAAAGGAACAATCAATTTTTCAGGCTTTTCGACCCAGTTCTATTTTTTTAATAAGCTCAGAAGAAGCACAGTTTAAAGATTAAAGCCAGTATTCATAGTCGGATCTTATATTCAAGACTGCCTCAAGATTATCTTTAGATACTCCGTGGCCAATGAAATGTTCCGCACAGCAGCTTTAGATAAATTCAAGACGGTCTGCGAATACCGGCCTAAGACTTGAAACGCAAATCTGATTTTAAACCGCTTCGTCGTTAGTCTTTTTTTTCCTTTCCCTCTTTTTTTTCTCTTACAAAACGTGCAACGGTGCACGCATGCGAAATAAACGAGCGATAATAAACTAATGAAAAATGCTCCTCTCGTTCTAAATGCACTCACGAGTCGCAGATTGTTCTTCGTGTACCAAAATAGTGACTGCAATGATAATTCCAACCAATATTTACAAACTAATAAGAATATTCTTCAAGTCGCCAGCAGTAATTAGCAACTTCGGTGTTTCCTTCACCATATCTGACACTTTTAATAATACAGAAAATTTCTTGCGAAAAATATTACCTCGGCCAGGGTTTGAGCCTGGACTTCCCTACACTCTAGGCGGGTGTCTCACCGATTCGACCACTGAGGCCAAATATTTATAAATATAGAGGGAAAATCCCCTATTATAAGATAAGCTCCTAATATAAGATAGCGGGTTCTACCGCTAAACTAATAGGCGTCTGTTGGTTCCACCATAAACTCATTGCCCCGGGACCGAAATCTATTTAGCGGAGAACCCACTGCTAGATCGTGTAATCGTCGCGAAAAAAGATTTGTGATTGAATTTGGACGTTGAAAACCTGCTATCTCGTATTATAAGCTTATATCATAAAAGAGGACTTCTACTTAATTTTCTCCGAGTTAATTTCTACATTTAATGTACACTCTTGGAGTTTCGCCGTTCTAACATTTTCGTGAGAACTAAATCTCGTCTAAACGCGCGCTTTGTATCGCAAGTTAACGAAACCGATGGGGCATCGGAAACGAGAGTCGCGGCCCACGGTTGTGCCACAAATTTCAAGAAGCAGAAATTGCGCACCACCTACGTCATGTTTACGCGAATTTTTTTCACGTAAACACTAAAGCAATGTAAATTATCATAGATCAACTGATTTGTGTTTAACTGTATCTTCACAATCGTAAAAAAATAAAAGAGAAAAAATAGTTTTAGGCTAGATTAAGTCAGGTGCACTTCGGTTGTAATTTATTAATTAATTTGTGCGTTAATATAAAAAGGTACCCCGATACTAATTGAGAAACATCGTTTACGCCTGTTAACTTTTCGCGACGCGCTAAAAATTGCCGCCCAAGCCAACCAGCGTTGACAATAAAATTGCAAACAACCTGTTTCCGATGCTAATGAAATATGAATGTTCGATGATCCACGGATTACTCATTGCTTACGCGACACGTTGAACATGGGTTTACTTTGTGTGTACACGCGGGCGTAGATTATCATATTTTACGCGTAAATTGAACGCCGAACCCCGGCGTGTTGCATCCGCGCACAGATTTCTTCATTACCGGTCGCGATTTTACGAAGACGGCGGGAGGGGGGGGGAGGGCTCGAGCCCGCTGCAGATGGCGGTACGAAACGGAGCGCCGCGCGACAGCGCACGTTGCCGTCTTATAATATTTAACAACAACCGACGATACCGCGATGGGGGTTCGATATCGCAGTGGCGACGTCGCCCGTGCTCGAGGACGCGGGCGAACTTCACGGCGTAATGCCATTGTCGAAGAGAGAGAGAGAGAGAGAGAGAGAGGGGGGAAAAAAGGTACGCGTCTCTCCCCGCGCACCGGCGAGTGCGCCTCCGCGAGCGCGTCCGATACGCGTAGTAAACAATTCGCGTTCCTTCGCGATCGCCGCGAATCAATAGCCGATGTACGATTTAATTATTTCGCGACGACGCGAGGGCCTCCGTGATGCATCGTCACTCCACGCAGGGCAGTCAACGGGGCTTGTTTTCTATCGCCGCGCTGGCGAGCCGGTGCAGTAAAGCTACTAGAGTGAGAAAAATACGTACACTTGTCTCACTCTAATTTATCGTCCGCCGGCGCAGCGATGGAAAACAAGCCTACGTTCGCCACGTGCAAAACCGAGGGAAGGAACGCGCGTAAAATTGAGCCACATGGCTGCCGGGCACTTGTGCCCACTTCGCGCAACTGTTGTCCCTGTCGCACTGGGAGGAGGGGAAAAAAAAAAACCTGCCGCGGATCCAGCACATTGTCTCGCAAGACAAACGCGCGAACGTATTTGCATAGTACAACTACTAGTATATCGCCCGCTCCGTCGTCCGTTTCGTTTCGCGTCGATCCTTTCTGCGCGTCCGCCATTATTTCGGCGGAGCCAATGAGACGGTTGTTGCATATGCGGCAGCGTGAAATCCATGGACATAATGTATCTAGACCGAGCGTTTTGCCTTTATTTGAGCAGCGGGGAGGGGGGGGGGTTATAGGTTCACGTGGAAAAGGACAGACGCCGTTTTGCGCCATCTCGTTCTCTCCTGTTTACATGTAAACGGTCTGGGTATACTGCGTCTATGGTGAATTGGAAATCCTATGGTTTTATACCAAAAACATGGCGGAGTACCCCGCGTGATAGAAACCGAAAGGATCGAAGGACCGAATAAAACAGTTCTACTACGCGTATCTGCAAGAAATCGCAGAGAAATGCACGCCACGCACCTCCACACGTGCGCGCGCGCACGTTATTAATGATATTTATATGTTAAATCATCTACTACAATTACAACGGCGGGGGGAAGGGGAGGGGGCGGGGAACCGGCAGGTAGCGCGTAAGACTCGGCCGACGGTGACAATCGGTCGGCGATCAATCATCCCGGTGTGACAACGAGGTAATAAACGGTAATGACACGGTCGTAACGTCTCGGTCGAAGCAACTAGTAGCCGGCGCGGATCTCCGAGGCGTGGTTCCTCCTCCGCCCGCGCGGGATCGCCCGTCGATCCGCGCGGCACGGGCGCGTCTTCCGACCGGCACGGACAGATCGGGGGATCCCCGGTCCCTCTGCCCCACCGAACCCGGAGCCGGGGGTCCCGTCAGCTGGCGCGGATTCCCGATTCCCCTCCTCTTCATCCCCCCCCCTCCCCCCGCGGCACCCGCGAGGAAGCATCCGGGATCGCCCGGCGACGCTCCGTCCCGCTCTCCCGGTCCCCAAGTTTCTCCCCCGGGACCCGTTGGCGAGACTCCGACCTACCCCCCCCCTCCTTTCCGCGTTAAAACGGCGGATCTACCGGTTTCCCGCGACCGGGCAGCGAGATCGCGGAGCGCGTCGCACGCCGATCGGCTCGGAATCGCCGCGTGCGAGGATCGATAGATCCCGCGACGGTGCGCGGTGTCCCGTCGCGCGACCTTCGACAGGGCTGAAGATTCCTTTTCGCTTTCTCTCTCCGTCTCTCTCTATCTCGCTTTCTTTTCTCCCGCGCGCTCAGTTTCGCGCGGGTCCATCGAAATCCGAGACCGAGACGTGACGCGCGCGCGCGCGCGCGTGCATGCGTGTGGCCGTGCATGCGGCTGCTACGCGCTCTCGCGCATGCACGCGGGGACGTGTGTGGGTGGGCGCGCGTTACGTGCGTGCGCGTGTATGCGCGCTAAGCGAAGGCCATGTCCGACAGGCTACTTTGTGACGGGTGACTTTTGAAAAGGTAAACAGGCGAAGGAGGACGATTTGCTACTCACGGTTTTCCGTCGGCGGTTCGGCCGCTCCCACACGGTCTCCCCCGTCGCGTGCGCGTGCCCCGGCGATTATTTGATTTTGCACAGCAACATTATTGTGCGTCCAGTAGGAAAAAAAAAGAAAGAGAGGGGAAAAGGGGAAGGGGGGAAGAGGAGGAGGAGGAGGAGAGAGAGAGAGAGAGCCGGAGGGAGAGGAGCGCGAGACGAGCGGCGTAGGAAAACGCAAGAGGGTGAGACGGGGAGAGACGGGGAGAGACTGGGCGAGAGGGGGCGGAGGGTGAGGTAGGGAGAGGAAAAAAAGACACACGCCGAGCAGCGGTCGCTTGATCAAAAGCACAATTTTCGTGACGTCATCGGCGGTCGGGCATGCGCGAACGTATTTCGGTGATTTTCCACGCACCGCGAAACACGTGCGACGAGTCGGTCGACGCCACTGCTGCTACCGCACACAGCACTACATATCGCTAAGAAACGCGCGGCATTATCGCGTCGCGGCGGCGGCACGGGCTTCCACAAATACCGAGCGCGATTCGCGAGAACCACCGCGGCTGCCGACATCTATCCATCCACTCCCACTTGTTAAGTGACGTACACTGACGTCACCGATAGTTTACCTTGAAGCCGCGTGACATTGAGCCGCAGGCCGGCCAATCGCGGCGCCGCGAAAGCCCCACCGGCCGCCGCGGGCCGAGTTTTCATTGCGCGCGACAAAACCGCGATCCCCGGCCGGCATTCGAATCGACTCCCGCGGCTCGGGGCTCCGATTAACCCTTTCGGCAGTTTCTTTTCTTTTCCCTTAAGAAATGTTTAGGCACCAACACCCTGTCGCGGCTCTTTAGCCCTTGCTCCTTCGAATTTCTGTTTACCACGTGAGAGAGCCTCGTGTGTTTTATTTTTTTGTTTGTTTGTCAGTTTTCGAAGTAGGACACTGCATCCCGGTGGGAGAGATAAAACGTGTAAATAGGACTGGTATGTTCCGGTGGCCGTGGAAGGGTTGAAATAATCGATTGATGCGACCGGCGGAATTACCTCGGCAAAATTTCTATTTAATTAGTCTCGAATCTATACTTCCCTTAGGCCAAGTACCGTAGCGTTTTAACGAGGACTCTGGTATATTAATAATTAATCCCGGGCTTGTGTGGAAAGTTTCAACGACACGGAATTATACATTTGGACTTTCGTCGAAAACAGACCACCTTACTCGACCGGCTGTTGCCGGGAAATTTTAAAAAATTGGCAGACGGTATAGTTTTATTTCTTTTCCTTTTTTTTTTAAGAACGAGAAAACAAGATTTTTAAGAGAACCTTTGGTAAAACGACGAGAGAATTAATTTCGTGAGAATTGATACGTCGTTATCTTGTAGCGAATTCGGTTGCACTAGTGCGCACTGAGTGCACACTAAAGCCATGTTTACAGTCAATTCTTATACTTAAAGACCATCTTGAATACCTCTTGCAACATTTCTTATCCGGAAAAATGGTCTGTACAACGTTTGCACCGATCATTTTTTGACTAAATACTCTTTGAACGTGCATTTAAGACAGAGTTAAATACAAGAACTGACTACATGTATAAACAAGACGGGAAGGATACGCGTATGTTATAAGCGCGTAATGCGGAATTAAATGCTAAAATTACAAAGTGTCGCTTAAAGTTAGAATTGCGCTATACGCTTATAACGTGCGTCGTATCGCGGATTAATCGCTTTCGTGCTCGAACAGAAAGATGAAGTCGATATCCCTGCGACTGTGATTACTTCAAAGTATCCCCCGCGGCGCAAAGTAACCCTTCCGCTCGTAATGGAGGACAAAGTGCCGCCATTAACATATCACGATCTTGTGTCATTAATATGCCGGCGATATTTATTAAGTCATTATACCCTTGAGAGGCAAAAAGAAGCCGGTATTTTAGGAACGCGACGAATTCTCTGTACACGGCTAAAGTCACGATCGCCGTTCCAGTGGATCAAATGCGTATCTTACGCTGTAGCGAAAGTGCTAAAAGTGAGTAGCTCTGTCACTTTCCAACCTGTCCCCGTAGAAAGAGACAAAGCCGCTCACTTTTAGCATTTTCGCTATCCAGCAAGATACAGAACTGACCCGCAGAATTGACGAGATGCAACGGTCCACTTGCATCGTCTGTTCGACGTTCGTCCGCGCGACGCGAAGCGTATTCGTATTGCCAGAACTTGGTGCACGAGACATTTACGTTAGTGGAGCGAGGATAAAAGTGATCCTCCCCAGCAATGTCAGACACGGTCATTTCGATCGATTGACATCGCAATCTGAAATCATACTCGTCTCTATTTAGTCACTTAGAAGTCTATCTGCAATTTTATACGCGCAGGGGTCATTGGTGCCTGAACGCGCGAATCAGGCGCTTATCGGAGAATACGAATTCACGTCCTCTAACGGCCCAGCGTGTACAGTGATGGACAGAATGGTTGCGACACATTTCTTTTAACGAGGAATATTTTATTCGATGGCCATTCCGAAACCATTTTGAGTGTTCCCGATCTATTTCTCGAGTAAAATGTTTCAGAACGTAAACCCGAATCTAAACGCGCGTTCCTAAAGTCATTAAAAAACTGTCGCGTCTGTACAGCGATGGGCAGAATGGTTGCGACACATTTCTTTTAACGAGGAATATTTTATTCGATGGCCATTCCGAAACCACTTTGAGTGTTCGTCCCAGTCTACAATAGATGATTTAAGCCCTAAGCTTTAAGAAATTGGCCAATCACGGTCAAGTATGAGTAGAATGCGCGACTGTGATTAGTCAATTTCTTAAGGCTTAGGGCTTAAATCTCTATTGTAGACTGGGACTTCCCGATCTGTTTCTCGAATAAAATGTTTCAGAACGTAAATCTGAATCTAAGCGCGCGTTCCTAAAGTCATTAAAAAACTGTCACAATCATTCTGTCCATCGCAGCGGTGAACAGAATGGTTGCGACACTTTTCTTTATGACTTTAGTAACATGCATTTAGATTCAGGGTTACGTTCCAAAATCTTCTCCGAGGAATATTTTACTCGACGGCCATAAGCCTGGATTTTACATGCGCGTTCCTAAAGTCATGAAAAAAAGTGTCGCGACCATTCTGTCCGTCACTGTACATCGCGTTTCGACCCGAATAAACAAATTCTTTCTCCTCCGTCGCCTCAAACACATTAATCCTCACTAGAGGGTCATTTTGGCACGCGTGTTCGCTCGATCGACATCTTACTCGCGACGTCCTCGCGACGAGATGTCCTCAGAAGCGTGCCTCGTACTCCCGGGATCCCGCGAACGAGGAAGGCGTGTCCTGCCACTTGGTCGACATCGCGCTTTGCGCGCGACGTCATTCGCACGCCGATGTGATGTAAGACGGGCGCTAAACTGCCGCTCGTGTCTCTCGTGCTAACCGGTAATAAACGCGTACCCACACGAAACCTCGGTGCGCCGCGACATTTATATGCATAATCCCGAGATCACACGCGAAAATCCGCGATACCGTCTGGCCTGCAATAACGCACGATCTCGCATAAGGGGAGACCTTAAGGGTGTCCCGTCGCGATGTTAATTTCTGCCGTGTACTAAGGAGCTGTTTCGAGCGAGAAACGCGGAATTTCTCGACGGCGATTCCAGCGAAACCCACTGCAGTTTCCCCGTTTCTCGTCGTTTCAAAGTCGAACTGTAATGGGTTTCCCACAGCATGTATTGCGTGTAGATTCTGAAAAGAATCTTTGAAGGATCGCGAAGTACACGGGGAGAATTTCCTCTTCAAATTCATCCTGAAAATGATGTGATCGTAGGACAACATGGCATTTTGAAGAACTTTATGAGTTTCTTGAATTTCACCATACATTCCACTAGTAATTATTGTTAGTACAGTTTACTAGTAAAACGTATGGTAAAATTTCAAAAAACTCTCATAACAAATTGTTTGAAATGCCGCATTGTCCCACGATTGCGTGATTTTCCGGATAAATTTTAAACGAAAATTCTCTCCGCGTATAAGACAGAATCGCAGGGACTTACCTAGTGAGAAATGATTCGCCGAACAATGTCGATTCGATCGATCGATGAATCATTTATCACCGGGTAGGTACTATAAAAAATGCAGATTACTCGAATGACATCGTTGCTGTTAGGGATACAGTTTTCCACAGTTTCGTACCCGCAGGGTTGGTGCCCTAACGTGTGAATTTAACTTGTGCACACATCAGTGGACACGCATTTCAGGATTGGGCGTTAATGCATGAAATATAATAATCTACATTTACACATAAACCCTGCGCGCTATGTTTAACGCGCCACGAATAATCTATAATGGATCATCTATAATGGATCATCTATAATGGATCATCGAGTGTTCATATTTCGTCAGGTATCGGAAATTTGTTTCGCTCGCAATTTTACATTCAATTGCTGTTATTTGCTGGACACAATTTTTAGCGCGCCATGAAAAATTAACAGATCAGATCGGCGTAAATAATAACACTTCTACATCGATATCATGTATTATTTAAATCATTATGCGATCATTTAATAAATAAATTGCACGGAAATGGACCCAATTCAACCCGGTCTAAAAGTATTTTTTCTTTTTGTTTATTGTTCGCGAAAATGCAGTTAAAAAGTAACCAGTTGATTTATAATAATTTACACGATTTATATTGTCTGCATAAAAAAAGATTTTCGTTCTCAGAATACATTTTGCGCAGAAAAACACGCAAATTCGGCAAAATTTACAAAAATTGAAGGCGAGGGCGTTATACTGCATGTTTACCAAAAAGTTGGCGTAAATATAATGGAAACAACACGTAAACAATCCACGTAGATCTAATCTTGCAATTTACGGCACAACCCTGACACATTTCCCACGTACTGCGCCTTGATAAACGCCTAAATTCACGCGTCGAGGTATCAACAACCCCCCTCTATGTAATAACATACGATATACATCCAATTAGCTCTCCTTTCTCCTTTCGGTTTGCTTGTAGGAAAATGCGCCGCGGGGAACAAACGAAGGCGGCGAAACAAATGGACGGCGAACGCGTTATACGGCACAGGTCGCGAAAGACATTAGGAGCACGTTCGCGAATCCCCTTGCGAGGTAAATTTCTTGTGAAACGAAATAACAAATATACATTGAATAGAGAAACTCCACGCGCGGCTCGTTAAATGCTGATCGTTTCTAGCGCGCGATAAGGTTGCGAATCAAGGATTGGAAGATGAATGCTGGACATTGTGAGTATAGCAGAGACAGACAATCTCTTGTGACAAATCGTTTTCTAATGCCGCACGGTCGTAATTTTGCGCTTCTCGGGAGAGACGGGGAATTTTTAATTGTAAAAAAAATGAAAGCGAAAGCGATCAGAAGCGGAGATCGTCAAGGCTCGATTCCCAATTCGAAATATTAATCTCGACGATGATCTACAAACGTGAACTTTTTTTTTATGTTGGATGGATCGTTCGCGATGACATTCCACAAAGTATTTTTACTGTAAAATTTGCGTAAAATTGTAGTCCACTCGTTTCCTTTTCCTCGGACGTCATTTAAATGTTACCCTAAAGTTCATTAGCTACTTTCGTAATTAAATGACAATTATAATATTATCCGCGGATTACCGGTGCACATGAATATTTTAACTCCGAGCTAACTGAATTATACGTATATATCCGGTAAAAAATATTTTATGCATGAATATGAATAAGTACGTAGGATTATACAAAAGTGTACATCAAATATGTTCGTGCCTATTTTTATGTAATTTTATACAATTCTATACAGCTCTGTATACTTTTGTAGATTTATACATGCTTTTATAAAAAAATTATGAAACATTTTTCATACAAGAGCATCCCATACGGCACGCGTGTCTACAAGACATCTTTAAGTCGTCTTAAATCTATAAAATTATACAGAACTGTGTCGAATTGTATAGAATTGTATAGAAATATACAATGTGAAAGTATGCATGGACACATTTCGTGTATAATTTTATACAATATTATATATTTATGCATGCTGACGTGCATGAAAGAATTTTTACCGGGTATATTTTTTGCATTAAAAATACAAGGGTACATACATCTGCCGTACGGTCACGTATACATATATAGCTCTATTGTTGTTGGCACATTGCACTTAATGGGATTTAAATTTTACATTTATAATTGTCCTCTGAATTATATACAGTAGAACCCATGTATCGCGCCGTTTATACGTGTACGCCTTTAAGCGGGACACGTCTCACTAAATTTTCACACAGGCGTGGAATTAAATGTCCCTAGAAAATTCTGAAGAGTTCAATACAGGTGTTTTCGGTCAGGCATTATGCTTGTTGTTTCTACAATGTCGTAAACTCCACAATAATTTCCATTCGCTGTTGAACAATTTGCTGTTATTAAAATTAAATGCACAACTATGTGTCGGTGGGTACAATTTTGAGGGCGATAGAGGAGATAAAAAAAAATTGTATGCGTCATTGCGCGACTGTTAATGCTGGATAAATAGCACTCGATGATAAGTGCTCGTTTATCTTGGTCATCTTTGTACTTTGTTTCGGGACGAGTGCTATTTTTCTACCTTTTTGCGCGTGGCCAGGTAATTTTTACGCTGATAGCGAGACAATAATGTTCATGCATTATGTCAATTGTGTCACACACTTTTCTGAAGTATCATTAATGTATTTTTTATGACATGTAACTCCACGTGTTAATTTCTGACGCATAAGAAATTCCGTTTGACTTACGCAACTTAAATTGACGAAAGTAAAGAAAACGTTTAGCCAATGTGAGCCGTCACCCGTTGGAAACTAAGATTGTGTGAGTTTAAGACAGGTGACGGCTCACACTGCCTAAACGTTTCCTCACATTACTTCCGTCAATTTAAGGTGTTTTGCACAGGAGCCTTACTTACACTTTCTATTTATTTTACACAATGTATCTCAATGATGTGTTACAACAGCGTGATGCTATATTGTCTCTTCGAATTAATTTTAAGATACGTCGCACTATTATATTTTGTTTGTAGGTGAGAGTTAATAAATGAGACAATGGCGTACTCTGATCAAAATCACGAGGCACCTAGGGGTGCCAGAAAGAGGGAGAATGGACAATACGAGGTTCCAGGAGACAAGACTGCAATCAAGACTGGATTAAATATATTGTACGCGTCTCAGATAGACCGCGGCGTGACTGACGAAGATGCGGAGAGAAAGATATCGTCGCTGAAACACTTACTGGGGAAAGATCCGAGGGCTGCCGACTTAAAGTGGTCCCTTTTCGTGGCGGCATCCAACACTTATCGCTACGACAGCTGCTTAAAGCCGTTTCCGCCTATGTACATTAAGAACGAATACAAGGATATCGAGGCTTTGGTATTGTCCCTGATGTTCGCAGACCATTTGTTTTGGTTCTCCCTCTGCGGGAACCAGATATTTGCAGAACAATGGCCGCGTTCAGCAGACACAACTGTTGAGCGAGCGCTCAGTATGATTGGTTAATACTTTTAGATCCAGTCAATCATATTAAGAAATCATTGAGCGCTCACTCAACAGTTGTGCCTGCTGAACGTGGCCAACAAGTTTGTTCGTGTTGCTTGCGCTTAGAATCCTCGTTTTCTTTCTCTCCCATGCCCAATGTAGAGGAAATCCTCTATTACGAGATAGGTTTCTAATATGCGACAGCAGATTTTCAACACCCAAATTCAATCGCAAATCTTTCTTCGCAACGATTACACAATCTAACAATGGATTTTCCACCAGACAGATTTCGCTGCAAGGGCAATAAATTCATGGTGGAATCAACCGATGATGCCCACTAATTTAACAGAAACCCCGCTACCTCATATCAGGATCCTAGCTCTTAATAGGGGACTTTCCTTTATATTTAGCTGTGTTTAAAGTTCAGGCATTTTTGGGGAATTGAAGCAACACGAGCAAGCATAATATATGACGATTTATCTTATGTATTGCTTTCTCTGCAGAGGAGAGCCATAGAATCAGTCCCTCCTTTGCCCGTGATGTGCAAAGAGCTTGGCGAGGCTGGTGCCTACGAGAATTACCGGGAAACAATAGAATTGTTATACTGGGTATTGCTACGATTAAGAGACCCGTATATCAAGAGCGTGCAGAAAGACAGTGTAAGGATGCATATTTACAATTCCCGACATTTCAAAAGTCGCAACACACCAGCACGGCGCAAAAATTCCTAGATACACTTCTGCATTACAGTACAATTCCATACTGAGGAAAGTGCCATTGGAGGTGCCGGCCGCAGCTCCAAATCTTATATTTCAAGTAGCAAGCGCGAAACAATCTGTAACAGAAGAGAAATGGAAATCAAGTGCTAAAGGTCACTCGACATTTTATGCGTATCATGGCAGCCGTTTAGAAAACTTCCATTCCATCGTGCATTACGGTTTACAACAAAACATGTGCAAAGTACAGCAAATCCACGTTAAATCAAATTGGAATTATTTCTGTTATCGTATACTCATTTTTCCTCTATGTTACTCAAGTTACGAAAGATCGGCGTGCACTTTTAAATAATTTGCCGTTTCAGAGGTCGGAGTTTGGCAAAGGGATATACTTTTCGAGCGAATTAGGAGTGAGCTTACCGTACAGCCCTGTGGGTTACGGCTGGGGAGGTAGTCTTCTTGGAAGTGAGATAAGCTGCATAGCTCTCTGCGAGCTTATTAATCATCCTGACATAAAGAGAGGAGACTCAAGTAGGCATTAATGTGCCTAAGCGAGCGATAACAATTTACAGCGTATCGTACGGTTTACAGTGTAAGTTTTTACAGTGGTATTGTGTTTCAGGATATAACGCACAAAATACATTGAGTGATTCAGTTAGTGAAAGAATACCAGACAAGTACTTTGTCGTGACAAATAGCGATTTAGTAAGGATACGCTATTTACTCGTTTATACCCAAGATCTACACTCACCTAGGTAAGTCATACGTAACATGATGTTAACTAAGCTTCACGTAGTCGTGCAATTATCCCTAAACATCTTACGTCTTCAGTACTACCGATAACACGGGACTGCTGGCGTGGTTCAAGCAGCACAAATTACTGACGTTTGTGCTCGGCTACGTCGTGCTGTTAGCCTCGGTCGGACTAACGCAGAACAAACAAGTCGAGAAATACTATAGGCTATTTATTCAGAAAGCGGGATTCGAATAAGAGTGCAAATCTATGGGCTTGAGTGCATAACACACACAAAAGGAAACACAAGTTTAAATCTTGATATAAAAGAAGGCTACAAACGCCATGTTCTCATAAGATTAGGCTCCACGTGCCAAAAATCAATAGCGTCGTAAAAGCCTGCAAGTTTTGAAAAAATGTATAAGGAAAAGATTTTTTTTAAATAGCGCTTCTGTGATTTGTAATTTTGCCATTTACAGCCTTTTTATGTTAAGTCCTCGGTTACGACTAACTCGTTCATTTTCACACCGAATGTGAAAAGCATTACCTTTTATATACACTTTTGAAATACACGTGTGGCAATTAAATAAATATTTTATATGGCAAAGATTCAGGTATATTGACGTACTATTTTACAAAATATTCTTATTTCTACAACTTTCAATATCGCGATAATATGATAGGAAAGTTCTCAGTGACTAAATAATCGTCCTCAAACACAACGATGAGGTTTACCTCGAACTCTAGAAAAAGAAAGACAATTTTACATCGTAACTTTCTGTAATTCGCACGTTTGTTTTAAGCTTATTCTACAACAGACGCAAAACGCTAAGCTGTAACGCAAGAAATCGGCCAGTGACAGTCGATCATTCTTCTTATACCCCGGCTATGATTGGTCGATTTCTTGCGTTGCGGCTTAGCGTCTTGCATCCATCGTAGAATGAGCTTCAGTGCGATAACTGCTTGCGACACAGTGTTCTTACCGACTTTGAAGTTGCTTGTGCTCAAAGTGGGACATGTAAATAGTCTTGGAAATATCATGTAAATTGGAATAGCAAGATTCGTGCAAGTATTGCCTTCTCCGATTTGTATATTTTGTATCTCCGTCGCTGCGAAAATACACCGTCAATTTTCGTCTCTCTCGTTATCGTCGCGTTACGTAGACTTAAAATTCTATTCTCACCATCTCTAGAGTATCCTTCCGCACATCCGCAAGTCTCTACCCTCACCAATTGTAGCTCTATAGACTTTATAACAGCCTCGCACTGTTCGATCACCACCTGCAGATGATAGACGAAGGAAAGTGATATCCTGAATAACATTGGTAAATGAAAGGGAAGAGGTCGCACATACTTCGCCCGTCAGAGGTTCGGAGAGTTTGCAGTACAAGGAGTCCAATCTCCCGGAGATGCAAAACCTTGGTACGTTGGGTCTGTCCCGAGTATTTTGCAGAGACTCCGGCATTATTTTGAAGAACACGATCTTGCTGTGATCCTTGTCCACCTTGGCGCTGGCCTTGTCCTCGACTATGAACTCCAGCGACTTGCTCACATCCTTCGCAAGGAAGCTCCGCTTTATGTCGCAGCGTATCAGGTACTGTATATTCACGAACACGCCGTGATACGTTTCGTAGAGAGATTTGTTTCCCCTTGGCTTCAGTGGCAGTTCAAATGGTATTTCCGTCTTGCCACTGGGAATCTTTCCCGACGGAGCAACGTCTAGCGTATATTGGACCAACTGTATTGGCTGAAAATAAACGCGATTGGCGTGGCACAACATTAACGTCCGTCGTATTCGCAGTGAGAAGGAACATTGTAAAAAAAAAGAAACGCTTGGGCAGTTTTCCTGCGTCAGTATATGCGCAACAAAGTACTTACCTTAACGGAATTATAAAACGCTTCGAAGATACCGACATTCTTGGAGCTAAGCTGCAGATTCACCGAGCCTTCCATGGTGAGAAAGATGCCATCGTGCTTCACGTCCGAGTTGGTTTTCAACAGTATCAAGCCGGCGACCACCTCCTGCGACATAACCTCACTTTTTTAATCGCGAACCGCATCCGCGCGGTTAATAATCATGAGACCGTGATTAAACCAACCCCTTCGTGATATATTTTGCTGGCGCGTTTCAACTTTATGTCTATGTTGATCGACATTTCGCGGGTGGCCTTCCAACTTTCTTTTGACGCTTGTCAAAGGATACCGCGAGCATCGGCTCATCCGTTAAGAGAAATGGAGCGACGCCGTCGAGTAAATAATAGTCGTTGTTGCGCTCGACATTCTTCAGTCAGTTCCATGCATATTGTTCCAAGTGCAGCTCGGCAGAAAAGGACGATAAGTAATTACTTGCTGGTCCAGCGAGCTTGGAAAGGCCGCTTCGGGGCGACAGCTGTCACGATTCAGCAAGGCTGCGTTCGGAAACCACCTGAGTGTCTTGTGTATCATCAGAGAGAAACCTGAGAGCGGCCATCCCAGGCCATCCAGTATAGTTCACATCCACTTTCTCAGGCGGCGCGTCAAGCGTTGGAAAAAGTGGCATCCATTCCGCTCGGTAACGAGACATGGTTCGTGTCCGTACTACGGTTCATGTCCGAACTATTCAGATGAGATGGATATTATAGCAGAATAGTCTGACAAAAAGCCGATAATTTCATTGTTCTGGGTTTATCCACCAGAGAGAAATCCAGAACAATGAAATTATCGGCTTTTGTCAGACTATAATGATTCTTCTCATCTGAATAGTTCGGACATGAACCATAGTATGGACACGAACCATGTCTCGTTACCGAGCGAAATGGATGTAGTTCACATCCACTTTCTCAGGCGGCGCGTCAAGCGTTGGAAAAAGTGCTCGTCGAGGCTGGGATGGCCGCTCTCAGGTTTCTCTCTGGTATCATCTTATCTTTGTTGCTCACCGGCCGGTAAACAAGGATAAAATGACACACTGGGGCGCTCGAGTGACGTTTCTGAACGCAGTCGCGATCAGCTGTGCGTACGACCAATCACATGAACTGTCACCGACAAGCCACGCTGTGACTGGTTGTGACACGTGACTCAGGGTGGCGTCACATGGAGCGGAATACACGTAAAGCCCGTATCAGACTACGGATTGAGATTGGGATTAGATTGAAATTTGATCAATTACAGTAAAGTTTACTAATCTCAAGTTTAGTAACTTTAACTCTAATTGGTCAAAGTTCAATCTAAAGCCCGCTGCAGACGATAGATCCGCTCTGTCATTTGTTTCGTTTTGCGTCGATCCCTTCTGCGCATCCAACATTGCTCTGGGCAGACCAATGAGAGAAAAGTTGTATGCATGGTAGTATAGCTTTGGCACTATGGAAAAACTACAAAAGCTATTCCATAGAAGCTGTACGCTTATTCGAATATAGAGCGTGAAGCCCGTATCAGACTACGAATTGAGATTGGGATTAGATTGAGATTTGACTACTCACAGTAAAGTTCACTAATCTCAAGTTTAGTAACTTTCACTCTAATTGGTCAAACTTCAATCTAATCTCAATCTCAATCCGTAATCTAAAGCGATAATCCAATGAGCGTGCAGTACACAACCGAAAGTCTGTTAAAGGCCGTATCAGACTACGGATTGAGATTAGATTGATAATTGACCAATTAGAGTAAAAGTTATTAAACTTGAGATTAGCAAACTTTACTGTGATTGGTTAAATTTCAATCCAATCCCAATCTCAATCTGTAGTCGGGGCTGCTTTCGCGTGAAGATCAAAATGATCCAGATTAAAATAACCCTGTGCTATGATTGGTCAAATCTGAAATTTCATAGCATTACATTGAAATTTTATTTAATATTCACTAACGACGAGTTTCTTTTCCCTAGCATCTCCGCGATATTCTTGCAGATTGATTTCCTCTTGATTCCCAAAACACCATAGGTCGGTCCCGTAGCCGATGAAATATTCCATACAGCATTTTTAAATAAATTCAAGACGATCTACGAATTTAAGATCTGACTATGAATACCGGTCATATAATCGCAATTATAAATTAGAAAGCACCGACCGCCGGCAAAAGTGGTTCGAGGATTTGGAAATATTCGGAAACAGTTTGGCGATATCCGAGGAAGTATGCAAGATTAATCTCTGCGAGAAACAAAAATAAGTAAAACAATATCGATAAGAATTTCCCTTCTGCGTGTATATGTATAGAGCCCGCTGCAGACGATGCTATTTTTCCTGCTGGATTGCTTGCGATTTAGGGCTTGTTTTCTGTTCCTGCACTGGGGTGCTTTCGCGACGTAGATCAAAATGATCCGGATCAAAATGATCCGTGCTATGATTGGTCAAATCTGGAATTTCATTGAATAAAATTTCAATGAGATGCTACGAAATTTCAGATTTGACCAATCATAGCACGGATCATTTTGATCCGGATCATTTTACTCTACGTCGCGAAAGCACCCCTGGTGAACTAGTGCAGTTAAGCCCGCTGCAGACGATGCTATTTTTCCTGCTGGATTGCTTGCGATTTAGTAAATTACTATCGTTGCACCACTCAGCACTCAGGATTCCTAGTAGTTTAGTAAATTGCAAGCAATCCAGCAGGAAAAATAGCATCGTCTGCAGCGGGCTTAAGCTAGAATGAGAAAAAATATACTTGTCTTACTCCAATTTATTGCACTAGTTCACCAGTGCAGGAACAGAAAACAAGCCCTTAGTAAATTACTATCGTTGCACCACTCAGCACTCAAGATTCCTAGTAGTTTAGTAAATCGCAAGCAATCCAGCAGGAAAAATAGCATCGTCTGCAGCGGGCTTAAAGCAGTTTCCCTCCGCTACTTTCCCGTGCGTCTCCGATACACCGACAGAGCGGCCAGCCAGGCTCTCTCGCGTCTGCGGGCATTTTACTTGTTTTGTTTCAGAAAACCGCCACTTTTTCCCCGTAGTCCAACGTCTTTCTCGGGCGAGGAAACATTCTCGTAGGGCGGCCGCTCGTCCAATGAGGCGTTTGCGTCTCCCGCCAGTCCCGCCTTCGCCGTCGCCAACGCGCAGGCGCGCGGCCGCGTCCCGTCCGGGGGTAAACAAATTCAAATCGCCGGTACGTTACTCCCGACAAGAAGTTATATCGAGTCGACTGGCCGGCGGCTTGCTTCTCGTAGGAAGAGACGGAGATTCGTGCCTGCAACGGAGAGAAGGGCCCCGATTGCGACTGACAATGGCGATGAGAAATCGGACCGCGGTCACGGTGAGCACGATACTCGATTCCGTGGGGCGCGGTGCAGAGTCGAGGGTTACTCGGACGATTAAGGCCAGGACGGTTGGCCCCATCTTTAAATGCCTCCCAGCGCACTTAAATGCCCGTCCACGTTCTCGCGATTCTCATTTACTCGCCTAGCCCCGGTCGTAATGCCGCACGGATCCCTCGAGCCTCGTGGAACGCGAGCAATTTTTTTGTTAGAATAAATCCGAGGGAATGTTCTTCAGGAGGTTTTCCCCCTCGTCGAGCAATGTTTATGTAACGTCAACGAACGGGGAACGTATTGGTTGTCGTCGGTTGATTTGTAAACATTGCATAAACGAGAGAATTGCAAGTGGCTTTGTGCCATTTTTCTGTAAACAATGACTTCCCGCGGGATATCATGTACATGCTACTCCATTCCTGATGTAACGCTAATTGATATTTTGGCGTGACGTTAACGAGAGTATTTTCACGCGTGCATGTCGTTTTCTATGCTACGAGACAATTTCGAACTTGTTTCCAATTTTGTCTTTAATTTGATGCGCGCGTACGTGTTATCAGGTGAACCATGCGAAGGAGAATGTTAAAACCACGAAGCCCTTGGTGGCCGTTGTGCCGTCGAAGGGGAAAAGGGCAGCGCTAGGCGAAATAAGCAATAAAATTAACACGGTAAGGGGTGTCGAGCCTATCGACAGGACTAGTTTATTGCAAAAGAAGAAAGTGCCGCCGAAGCAGCAAGCGGTGAAGCCAGCGGCAGACGCGCCCGAGAAGCCAGTGGCGAATGCACCCGAGAAGCCGCCAGTGCAAATTGTAAAACCGGTTGTGAAAACGACACTCACGACCGTTGCACCCAACGCGCATGCTTTGCACTCGGCACTTACTGTCGTTAGTCCGAAGAGAGAAGAGAGGAATAGATCGTTTTCAACGGATCTATTGAAGTTCGAAGACATTGACGAGCAAGACAAGAATAACCCAATTCTAGTTTCTTTCTATACCAACGACATACACGAGTACTTGAGGAAATTAGAGAGGAACTTTCCTATTAAGAAGGGATATCTAGCGGGTCAGGAAATCACCTCTAAGATGAGAAGCGTGCTGATAGATTGGTTGGTGGAAGTACATCAGCAATTTCGATTGATGCAAGAGACACTGTACCTCACCGTCGCAACTATCGATCGCTTCTTACAGGTATGGCGCGCACGGTGTAACACGTCGCGTCAGAGGCGAACGTCTTTCAACTTTGAACAGCTATGTCAATTATTTCGCGCGTATATTTTTGCTCACACCGTATTTTATTCTTGCAGCTCTACCGGACCATAGATAGAAAGAGATTGCAGCTGGTTGGCGTTACGGCTATGTTTATCGCTAGCAAGTATGAAGAAATGTATTCGCCGGATATAAGTGATTTTGTATATATCACGGACAAGGCTTATTCAAAGGCAGATATACTGAACATGGAAATGCTCATGGTGAAAACCCTGGACTACTCGTTCGGGCGACCGTTACCGCTGCATTTCCTTCGGAGATACAGCAAGGCTGGACAAGTACGTGCACAAACGCTCAGGGTTTTAACGCCGTCTCATTGCTCTGTTTACGCTGTTTGTAACTAGCGCTGTAAGTTTTCGAATAATATCGAAATAATTTCTTTCAAGGCGCTCCCTGTACATCATACAATGGCCAAGTATTTCCTTGAGCTAAGCTTGGTTCACTATGAGATGTGTCACTATTCACCTAGTCTCATCGCTGCAGCAGCGCTATATCTAGCATTTTTGTAAGCAACTGAATTGTCTTGCAATGTACCTTTTGTGATGATCTTCGATTAATGAATAAATTAATAATTGTAGAATTATCGGTAATGATGAAGAGGACGAAGGCAAGATTATTTGGTCAGATACTCTAGCATACTACAGCACTTACTCGAAGAACGATGTGTTACCTGTAGTACGTGATATAGCTGCAATAATAGTGAAAGCAGAAGACAGTAAACATCAAGCTGTGAGAAAGAAGTACGTCCATATGAAATACATGAAAATTAGTATTCGACCAGAGCTGAAGTCTCCAATTATGCTCTCCATTGCAACAAGCAAGGAGTCATAAACTTGTAATAGAACTAAATAGAATTGTTTGTGAACTCACACTTCGATTTTGAGATCCTTTTAATAAGATATTTGCCCCCATTAAATGTCGTATCAATAAATATGATAATGACGTTATAGTTCATCGAGAGGAAGAGAGGGAGGGAGAAAGATTGTGTCTTTGAAGAAATAAAACTAAGATAAACGAAGGATAAAGTAAAGCTTTATCGTAAAATAATGAATGTGCACACTAGACATTTAATGCACAAATCTCTTATTGAAGAGTCAATTCTCATTTAGTCACATAATAAAAACAAAGAAGACGTATTTAGATACAAAACGTTTATTACTATAAGCATGAAAATTTAGTCGGGTAATACTAATGGACTTTTTTTTTGGACTGCCGTAGTGAATCTAAGTACAGCGGAAAACGTAAAACGCATCCTTTTATAATAAGATATTAAATAAAGCTTTTAGTTTTTTTCCTAGTTAATTATATTTTAATTTTGATATAAGTCCTACACATTATACTTTTGATGCCACCGCATGAAAATATATGAGTATGCTAATATTTCATTTTTTTTCTTATACTTTTATATTCGTATTTTCTCAAATGTAGTCTATCTCAATTAGTATGGGAGGCTATCGTTAAGTCTTTCGATTGCCATTTTGAAATATAAATTGGATGAAAGTTGTGTACAAAAGCGAGAGGTAATAATTTTTTGGAGATATCATACATAGTTTAGAAAATTTTTATCAATATAGTGATAAAGAAATGTTCTTCGATTTTACGTTTTATACTGCTATATCCTATAATATGTATATAAAATAATTAGTATATAAGTATTTGCGCGTGTCTGAAACAAGATAAAATTTTATATTGTTAAGTAATCCAAATTTTAACATTTCCAAATTTAGATGTTTAATATATATGACTCTAGGATTCAATACAGATGGCTATTACATTTAGGCTTAATTATTTGAAAATTTAATTATAATATCATAATGATATAGATTAAATTACTATCTCTATATACACATCTATGTAAATAAATAACTACATTACTACGTCTGTCATTATTTATTACATCAATGTCTCATACTCATTATGTAATAGCGCCTACCATTTTATATTTAAACACTAATATGCATATTTAAAAAATTAATTTGTCACTTACATCTTTCAAACACATTGTAAATTGATTTATTTACAGAAAAATGTTTAAAAAAATGTGGTCAATATACGTGGTGTTTCTTCAAGTTCAGGAGAACATATTACATAGCGTTCTAAAAAGTTAAAAGCACAAAATTATGAAGAGCTAATGAATGCAAAAAATCGGATTTTGGGAATACTTGCCAACTAATTTAATAGCACCCATATATTCCTGAAGTTGTGCCTGTGAATAGTTTCCATATTTTTCCTATAAATAAATTAAGTAATGTGAAACGCAATTCATGAATCACTGAACTACCTTGGATACTAATTACTTACTAGGATAGAGAAACTTGTGGGAATGGATTTGTCCCAAATTTCATTTTTACTACTTTCCACCAATTGAAAGAAGTCCTTTGCCTCAACTACGATCTTTTCTGCGCTTTCATCAAACTCGAATCTTATTAGCAGTTGTAACAGCTGACACCATTCATCTGTGAATAAAAATTATTTTCATTACAATTAGAGCATACATTGAAAATAAGTAAAATTAAAAATACATAACGTATACAATGTATATTATAATGACAAAGTTAATATATTCTGCAATATTATTCAATAATGTTGTAATAATTGCGAATTTATATTGTTTATGTGGACAAACCTCTATTCTTGTTCGCACAATTAACGAGTTGGTAAAGAGCATGTATTAAACTTATATCTTCAAACATACTGCCCTCTTTTAAACTGAACAATTTTCTCTCTTGTTTTCTACGGTTTTTACTTGACCGATAGCTTTTGCTAAAAAGAAATTTTTATATTTTTTTACTTCATATGTATACAGATGTAAAATCATATATGGGTACACGTACGTTTGTAGGTTTGCTCTTTATGCTGCACTAAACTACACTAAATTCTCGCTTTCGCTAAAGTTTAAATGTATATCTATTTCATTTTCAATACAACGAACGTACATCAGTGAAGCTATAAAGAACAAATCTTGTAATAGTGATATCAGATTACTTTAAAGTATATAAACACCTTGTATGTATAGACAGTCGCGATAGTTGGCTTGCAGTAGAATCGGCAATGCTGGCTGTATCACTAATGGTATCCAGAAGCTCTTTATTAGATTGCAGTTCATCTTTATAGACTTTGTCAACGAACACTTGTGTATGTTTTGTCACAATTTCTGCTCTCACTACAGCAAGACGCGACTTGTGTCTTAAAAAGTTTCTCTTCATTTCACTCAACTGTGAAATCACATGTTCTGCATGTTCCTTCAGTCCAGGTTTAATATGCGTTTCTATAAAGACAGAACAGAGAATATGAATGCTATATTAAATTATAATTTTTGTTTTATGTATAAATATTACATAGTATATATATACTACATATTAATTTACTTATTATTTTCTAACCATTCAGATCTAAACGCTGATTATCAATTGCTATCCGTATTGCGTATTTCCATAATTTTGCCTCACATAATAATGCAATTGCATCTTCAACATCATTTAGGTAATCTTTTAATATTGTAGCTGCAGGTTCATATTTTCGCGCTTCTTTCAAATTTTCAACCAGGGTTTGGTAAAGTTGGTTTAAATTTTTTTGGCTGAAAAAATTAATTCTTATATGACATAGAACAGCATATGTAGTTAATTCTAATAAGGAATGAATATTTCTTCATGTATATATGAAACAAAATTTATCTTTACCTTAACTTCATTTCTTTTGCTATTGCGATCACGTCTTCCCAATTATCAGGTGACATGGTAAATGTCTTTACAGCTCTGTCAAGATTGCCACTTCTATAAAACATCATACCAGCTTCCGGATATTTATTTTCGCTTAATAAAAATTCTCCAAAAATTTCAGCCACCATTTTATGCTCTGCAGTGTTCCTTTTAAATAATTTCATTCCAAACTTATATAACTGTTGATTACGTATCAATTCTAAACATTTTTCAAAATGTCCTGGAACTTTAGACAAATACTCTAACGCTGAATCATAACGTTTAAGATGAACATTAATAGTATACTTCATGTAATTTTCGTCTAATTTTTTCAATTTGTTCAGAAATGGTATATATTCCTTGGGATCTTTCGGTGATTTACTCGCTATGAACAGTGCGAGTTCTAAATCGTACATGCCTAATGCAATATCGTATAGTATATCGAAAGTGACGAAATGCTGTAAAAACTTTAGCGCTTCGAAAGCAGATACGGTAAAACCATGTGGCGCCATTCTTCGTGAATCTTCCAACATTTTTATTTGCTTTATTTTGCTAAGTGCATCTTCCAATCCTTGTCTTTGTCGATTTTTCACCAAGCTGATCAATATTGGTTGTATTAAATTATTCGCATTTTGATGTTTCTCCATGGTATCTCTTAATAACTTACAAATCTTGTCTACCTTATTAACTGTAGTTTTGTCACTTGTATGGCCAGATTTGCGATCGACATAACAAAATGCGTACGTCGTATCAGTGACATCGCTGTCCTGTAATTCTGACAAAAACAGATTCAACCAAATCACTTTATTATGCTGTACAAGATCGTTTATGAACCTTTCCACATTATCCAGAAATAATTGTGGATCGTGGTCGTATATTAAATTTAAGTTTATACGATGTTTAGTCATTATGGCAAGCGCCGTCAAATAATTCCAGTTACGAAGACAAGATTTTACTAGATGCAGCAATAAAGGCCTTGGATGTATAGCCTCTAAATTTCCTCTAGGCATCTGTAAAATTACCATCGAGTCGTGTGGTATCGCCGTTACTATAGTAGAATTTTTTTCGACTCGTCTAAAATAGATATCTGTAATGATACGTTTAAATTTCAGAAAAATGTGCTTTACACAATAAGTAAAATATAACAAAAAAATATATATACACATATTTACTTGTAAATACCTCCACCTCGTTATCTAACCAAGGCTTAACGGTCAAATCATGTTTACTTAGCTGCTGTACACCACTTTCATTTAATGAGACGCAAATAAGTGTATCTTGTAGCGATGTAAGAAGCAAAAATTCAGAATGTACATAAAAACTTGTAATATTCTTAGCACTTTCTTTTCCATCAACTAAGAAACTGTTGTCCGAAGACAGTGCAAGGATAACGTCTCTCGAGTCAATTTGTATAACTTCCATTTTCACGCATGGCTTGCTTAAAGTTATATTTGTGTGTTCAATTCTTCCATCCCGTGTGTACTTAAATATTTGATCTCTTGCTTTTATGTAAGCAGCATTTGCATCGGGAGAAGAAACTATACGCTCTATTAAATAATCCAAAACGTGAACTTTTCTATAAAAAGAAAAACAATTCAAGTTAGACACATATCATTTTCACACACGTGATGATTCTGGGACATTACATACTGTATTTTCAGACAGTCCTTGGAATTTATTTCATTTAGAGATAAAACGCACAAGAGACTATGGTTCTCTATAATTATAGAGAACAATATGATGTCTTCTGTAAACCACAAGAAATGATTTATGTGCTTCGAAACGATGCAAGGGACTTCTTCAAATTGCATGTCACGTAAGTCAAAATCAATGCTGTACGAGTTTACGTGTACATAGTCTGAGTTGGCTTCCTACAACATTAGATAAATAACATAAGACAGTAATAAATAGATTATGTATCATTATATCTCTGCATCATTTTGTTAAGATAAATTACCTTCTTGAAAAACATCAGTCTATTATTGCATGAAATAGTACAGAAATCGCTGCTGCTTATCGAAGATGATTTACTCGGGGCAAAACTAATTGCATTTTGTGATTCGAAAGTTTCTATAGATTGATGTGCTACTGGCGGTGGGACAATTCCGTCTTTAAAAGCAGTAACTAATATTTTGTTTCCGTCAATAACACCAAATACAGCTTTATCATCCACAGTGCTGCCTCTGCTATGACTGTGGCACCAATTAAACGAGCAGAAAGTAAGTTCTTTCGTTGTTACGTAAATTAATTCCTTTTTGTTAGTTTCAGCTACATTGCTCCATGTTGCATACAGCAATTGATTATCTACAGGAAAGACAAGAGTTTGTTTAAGATACCAATGACAATTACTTTCAGTCCATAGTTGTATTTGTGTAGTGCTCGCTTCTGGCTCGTGACAGACAACGGCCAAAATATCTGATGACCAAAGCAGATCTTTCACCTGTCGTAAGAAGACATCTATTTAATGAAATATATAAACTTGTAAGGTCTTAAAAAATCGTTCACTCCAATATTTAACGCACCTTTACTTCACCCGGTTTAAAGGGCAATAACAACTCCGAATATTTCAGGCCGTTTTTCTCGAAGAATGCAACGACATACTTATCGTTTAATATCTGAGGTATGGCGATCATTAGATTGTTACATGGATTCCAAGTTATATGTTCTTCCAATCCGTTGACCTGTTCACTGGTATAATGCAAAGTGCCCTCTCTGTCGAATATCTTAAATTTTCGAATTTTTGTTTCCCTATCCAGAAAATTAACAGCGAAAAACGCACCGTCTTCACGCCAAGCGATCCGAGTGCGACCTTCATCGTACTTATTCGGTATCGGCTGTTCCGATTTGGCTCGAGCCGCCGCTTTACCCATGGAACCATGAAACTGAGTCTCCTTTTTACCCCAACCAACATTGACAAATTCATTCTGCCCAAACTCTTCGGAGTACAAATTTACCTATAAACAAAATTAAATATCTAATTTAGTGTATCGAGTAGAATTAATAATTCACTGTGTTCACTGTTAGAGTTACTTTTGCGACTTAAAGAAGAGATCTACGTTCGCTCTTTAGAATTACAGTTCGTATTCCTTTTCGTCTCTTTTTAATTCTACAGCACACAAAATGTGCAAGCTTGTCGTCGCTTTCTTCGCCACACAGTCGGCAGTCTTTGTGCTCAGTAAATACACGATAGGAACCAAGTTTAGCAAAAAGCTTAGAAGTAGTATTTACCTCCGACATTATCTGGAAGTCTAATACCATAGTGGCTACAGTTCCTGCACCCGTTACAACAACGATGAGCTCATGATCCGGGCTGAGTTTCATGCACTGTAGACCACTGGCGAACGTCGCCGCTACTTTGCACTCGATAGAAGCGTGATCTTTTGTGTCGATTGTGGTAATGCAACCGGACTCGTATGCACAATACAATTCCTGCATGGTGATGCAATACTCCAATGCGATTACTTTGGAGGGATGATCCATGTCCAGAATTCTCTGGCCTTCGAACGGTATCGCGCAGAGGTACTTGTCCACCAGCAAGTATACATCGTTGTTGCTCGCATTCAAAGAGCATTGTATGGACTTCAAGAGATCTTGATTAATTCTTGCGTCCCTCAAACATTCGAGATTCCTACGACGTACTTCGTGAACCGCGAGATTTTTCATGGTTTCCTTTTCTTATCGAACGCTTCGCAACAACGGCGAGTCGAGTTTATATCTCTTTCATGTATTACGAAAATAATTATACATCACTGCGGATAGAGAAAGTATAAAATAATTCGTGTGCGAGTCGGAGGAAAATAATACGACTTAAAAGTGCAATGTGTTTATCAAAAGTTGTTATATCTACCTCGAGTTTAACGTACCTTTTTGTTTTTTCAGACCACGCGACAACTAACCTTGGCGACGAACACGCGGTACCCAGCAACGTGACTAACCGTGAGTGCAGACGTAAAGCCCGTATCAGCGGATTGGGATTGGGATTGGGATTAGATTAAAATTTAACCAATCACAGTAAAGTTTACTAATTTTAAGTTCAGTAACTTTTACTCTGATTGGTCAAATTTCAATCTAATCCCAATCCCAATCCGTAGTCTGATACGGGCTTAACTTTTACTCTGATTGGTCAAATTTCAATCTAATTTTAATCTTAATCCGTAGTCTGATACGGGCTTAAAGCCTCGTCTACATAGAAGTCGTAGGCTGGGTCTACATTGGATGTCGTAAGTCGTGTCGGAAGAATAGTCAACTATGATTGGTCAATTCTAAAGCCTCCGCTACAATGAGTGCGTTCCGGCAAGACACTGCTACCGTAGCGCTACGGTAGCGCTACGATAGCGCTACACGAGTACGTTTCGGCAAAACGTACCGCTACAACTGTAGCGGAACTTCTTCCTCTTTAACGTTGCTTTCATCTGATGAATCATCGAACAATATGTCATTCATGAGCCAATCTTCAATATTTTCCATTCTATTCGTTTCAATTAATTTTGTAAACGAGGTAAACGCGACTCTTATAATTCAATTTTGAGGTTATGCACGCTAATGTATATATGGCACCGCTACAATTGTAGCGAAAAAGCTGTAGCGCTACGGTAGCAGTGTCTGGCCGGAACGCACTCAATGATTCTCGGTTCTGTCTACAATGGTCGTAGTCGTAAGAATAATCGACTGCGATTGGTCAATTCTTATCGAGCGACTACGACTACGACCATTGTAGACAGAACCGAGAATCATTGTAGCGGAGGCTTGAAGCCTCGTCTACATAGAAGTTGTAAAGTCGTAGTCGTAAGAATAATCGACTGCGATTGGTCAATTTCGTCAGACACATAAGAATTGACCAATTAAGCCTCGTCTACATAGAAGTCGTAAAGCCGTAGTCGTAAGGATAGTCGACTATGATTGGTCAATTCCGTCAGGCACATAAGAATTGACCAATCATAGTCGACTATCCTTA